CTTTTCACCAGAAGTCCTGGGAATGAGTTGAGATGAGTTCTTCTTTCCTTAGATACTTCACTTCATTCAGTGCTAAAACTCTTCATTTACTAGAACTTAGTGAAAATCTTTCAAAACTATATTACTGACTCTCCATAATTTTAAACAAGGGTTACTAAGCAAATTTTAACGTTTGGTTACCTGGACTCATCGTAGGACCATCTAACCTTTCCAGCCCTTGGCTGCCTTTCCAGGGCCTGCCCTTGGTGTGGGTATGATGGAAGATCTGAAACCAACTCGATAACTTTAACACCAACACGAGAGCTTTGGCTTCCACCTGGGGCCGCTCTTCTTTCCTGTAGGACATCAGGCTGAGCGCTGGGCAGGGCCCATTCTCCCAACCTAACACAGGTTCATGCAGCTGAGTCCTGGTGGTTGAGGCTGTGTGAAGGCTGGTCCCTGAGCACACCTGTCGCTGATACTCTTACACTGAAATCCACTCTGGGCTCCCTTTCAACAGACAGACGGGGGTCAACTCTGCTTAGGGTGGCCGTTGACGCACAGCCTCCTCCCACCCAGCTCTGCCCTTGCTGTGTGGCCCAGGGCGGTGTCTTAGTGTTGCTGTCACCTCCAGGAAAGCGGGTGTGTGTTGGAGAAGGCCTGGCTCGCATGGAACTATTCCTGTTCTTGGCCTCCATCCTGCAGCACTTTAACTTGGAGTCGCCAGTGGACCCCATGGATATCGACCTCAGCCCCATCGCAATTGGGTTTGCCAAGGTCCCCCCCCATTACAGGCTCTGTGTCATTCCCCGCTCACAAGTGTGAGGCACACGTTCTCTGAAGACCGCGGGTCCCTTGATGCTGGCCTGGAGGCCTCCTGCTTCCCTGTGCCCCCTCAGCAAGGCTAGCCAGGGCTCCACAGGGAACCAACTGGGCCAGAGAGGCTGCTTTCCAGGCCAAGCACATTCTTCAGATAGAATTTGAAACAAAGTTCATAAAAGATTGTGTCAAACTAATTAATTAAAGCAAACTATGACTTAGTTTGTGTTGGAGTTCCTAGAAACCATGATAAGTAAGAACATATCAGTGTAGGTTAAACTAAACTCTTCGGTAAAAGTAGAGCTACCCAGTCACCAGAGTCAGCATCTCCTGTAAAGGATTCACAAAAAGGAGTACAGACACTATTTTGCTGTTTGGAAAAAATAAAAATAATATACCTTCGGAGGATTTGTTAGCCATATCCTAAATGTATCCCCTGACATCTTTCCCTAGGATGTGAAGTTATTCCTTTGGGCTCACTAGTAGCAATTATCCTGTGCTATATTTTCAGATTAAAATATGTCTGAAAAGTCAGCATAGAGATCTCTTATTATCTCTTAAGCCTTCGTGCCTGGAAGCGGAACTTATAAGGATATGGGGACCCTTGTGCAGAATGAGGCAGAAACGAGGAAATCATTAATCAGCTCCGTGAACTAAACCTCAATGTTGTGAAACAGAAGAATAATTTGGGACAAGAACCCTGTTCCCACCCAGAGGGCACACACCAGGAAACCCACTGTATGTCCAGACTTCCTGCTTTGACTTCCTCGCCAGTAAAGTGGGCATGTCAGCAGCCCCGCTCCACAGCATAGAGTGTGAGGGCTGAACGGGTGAGATGCAGAGCTTTGGGACACTGTGCAGCACATAAGCCCCATGTTCCTTAGTAAAGTGAGTAAGTTTTCACAGCCAGCAGTGCAGCATCTTCCAGCTCTCACTGACCCTCCTGCTTCTCACTTATAAGGTCCTGTGATAACATCGAGCTCACCCAGGTAACACTGGAATCCCTCCCCTTCTCAGGATCCTTACCCTATCACATATGCAAAGTCCCACCTACCACGTTAGGTAGCATATCCACAGATTAGAAAGAAGGAAGGGGTGTCGGGTCCCAAGCAAATCCAAAACCTCGCGAGCAAATGACAAGACCTTAAAGCCTGGGAATGATCCTCTTTGGATCATTGAAAGTCAGGCCATACTTGCAGTTCATTTTATAAGCCAAGCATCCCCTGACATCAGACAAAAATTACGAAAACTAGAACAGGGCCCGCAAACCCCACTCTCTGTCCTACTTGACACGGCCTTTAAGATCTTCAGCGACAGGGAGGAAATTTCCAGGAATAGGTGAGAACTAAGAGAGGAGGAAAAATTAAAGCGACACACGCTCAATACATGGCCGTTGCCACTGCTCAGTCCCCCACAACAGGGACCTACAGGAATCCCCTCTCCTTCTCAAAGACCACCGCTGACCTGCTACCAGTGCAGTCAGCAGGGGCACACTGTCAGGAAATGCTGCACCCTGCCACCCCATACCCCATGCCCTTACTGTCACCAAAAGGGCCATTGGAAAAGGAGTTGTCCCTCCCATCCTCAAGCGGGTAGGGCAACACCATGACCACCCAACACCCAGGGTATTTCGGGTCCCGGCCCCCTGGGCCAAAGTCAAGGCCAGTTTCCCCTGTCGGTGGTAAGTGGCCATCAGGAACGAGAAGCGGACTGTGCTCCGGATCTGGGGCTCCTGGGTGTGGACGACTGAAGGTGCCTGGGGCTCAACCTCCAGGCCCCTACGTTCCCCATAAGACCGGAGGAGCCCCGGGTAACCCTGGATGTGGCAGGGGCTACTATCAGTGTCTGATTGACACTGGGGCTACTTATTCAGCTCTGACCTCCTTCTCTGGTCCCACTCGCTGTTCCTCGATCCTCCCAACAGGGATAGATGGACAACCCTCTTATGGCCATTTTAAACCTCCCTCACCCTGTCTCTTGAAAATACTTTATTCACACACTCTTTCCTAGTCCTCCCGGCCTGTCCTACACCTCTGTTAGGCTGGGACCTTTTAACAAAACTTAAAGCTACTTTATCATTTACACCAGTAAATATGGCCTTAACAGCCACCACGAAGACTACTCTAGCTAAAGTCCCACCCCATCTCCAAGTTGTCCCTAACATAACCACAATTTTTGGTTCCAACCCTCAAATATTAAGCAAGAAGACTGCAAAAATCTCAAGACACCTGAGGATTATGACATAGGGTGGAACCTTACTATTCCTTCTTTCAACTGGGCTTACAACTTTTCCTCTCATCCCTCAAAGGTTGCTTGCCTCTCTCCTTTAGCTGGAATGACTTTAGCTACTACCTGTGAGGGCACAGAACATTCCCGCACCCATTTAGGAAAACCCTACTTCAACATCACTTTAGACGTCTGCCTAGCCCCTACAAATCGCACCTGTTTCCTTTGCGGACCCAATGCCTATTTATGCCTTCCAGCCAACTGGACGGGGGACCTGTACCCTTGCATACATTATTCCTAATCTTACCCTTATAAATGACAGCACCCCACTTCCCTTATACTCTCAATCACGTAAACAAAAGCGGGCAGCCCTCAATGTAATATCAGTCCTAGAGATTATCATGGGGATAGAAACAGGCTTATCTGGACTTTTAAACTTTATTTTCACTGCCCGACAGCTCCTTCTTGAACTTACACAACAGATTGCCTACCCAGCAGCTCAAATTAACACTCTACAAGAACAAATAAATTCTCTAGCAGGAGTGGTTTTACAGAATAGGAGAGCTTTATACTTACCAACGGTTAAACAATGTGGGACCTGTGCAATGTTAAAGGAGGATTGCTGGGTTTTTTTGTCAACCAATTGGGCAAAATTCAAACTAAACTTCGGAATATTATCGAAAGACCTAAAGGGTTTTATATGAAGGGAGCCTCAGGGGGATTCGACTGGTGGGATCTCAAGACTAATATCTGGTCCTGGTTCTCTTGGCTAACTCCTCTTCTAGGTCCTATAGCAGCCTTCCTACTTCTACTGATCTTCGGGCCATGCATTTTTAACTTCCTTGTTAAGTTTGTCTCTTCTAGAATACAACCAATGAACCTCCAGATGGTAAGGTGACAAGAATACCGGCCAGTCAACACCCAGACAACATTTGAACAAGCCTCCATCACATCCCATGGAGCCCCCACCCCCTCTCTAGGAATAATACTCTGACAGAGAGCAGGCATCAGGAACCCAGGGCCCCTACGACGCCCCTGCCTCTTGTCCTAACAAAAAGTGTTCTGGAACGCCTGAGAAGGAGCTAGGCAGATAGGTAGACATGAGCAGGGTGTCCAACAGGGCCAAAGGATTGGCCCTATAAATAAAGAGAGGGGGAAATGTGGCGCTCCAAGGACAAAAAACAAGATAAATTCAAAGGGCCAGCATTGCCGGAACAAAGAGTTACAGGACTCCTATCGCTGTGTCACGTTGCGACCACTGCAATGTCCCAGAGCCTCCCAAGCAGCGTGCCCTGTCCCTTTCCCATCCACACCGCCTGTCTTGAACTCCTCTTGTGGCACATACAGGCACGCATAAACCTACGTGTAATAAAATTTTCTATTTCACGTTTCCTCGTGGTCTTTGTTGACACAAAGTCCATAAAAGATTGTGTCAAACTAATTAAAGTACTTAAAGCAAACTATGGTTCAACAATATCGCGCACACAGGATATACATTTAAACTGTTAATTTAACAAAGTCACAACAGTTGCAATATTGGTTTACGTACTTTAATAAGGACAGACATTGTGATATTTCACGATTCATGCTGTAGTATGCAACTGTTAAAAAAAAAAAAAAGAAAGGACGTGGGATCCATAACCGCAATGCCGTTATAGTTAACAAAAACATTAAAGCTAACTTATAGTATCATCGGATTCTCGGCCCCCATAAGAATTTACCCATTCGTCTCACAACATCTCTTTCAGTTTCTTAAACTAGGACTTAATAACAAACCAGAATTCCACGTGGTTGCACGTGGGTCGAGACACAGTCTCATCCATCACATCTGGGGCTCAGGGCAGCAAGACCCATTACCCCTCGATACACAAAACGGCCCTCGACGGCGCCGACGGACGGAGACGGACACGCACTCTCCCCACGCAAGGACGCCTTCCCCGCAGGAGCCTCGGGGATGGAGTCTTACGGGTTTCTCCTGCGCGTGTGCGGCCCCGCCCACCTCACCCTCTTCCGTCAGGAACGTCCGGGCCCCACCGCGCTACGGCAGCTGCGCCCGCGCGCTGGCTGTCCTTCTGGGTCCCTGAAGGTGGGTGCAAGTGTGGAAGGCGGCCGCGGCGCGGGGACGCAGGGCGGGGCGGGGATGCTGCTCCACTCGGTGGGAGCGTAAAGGTCGGCGGGTGTGAGCGGCGCGGCCTGAGGCGCAGGTGCGAGCCGCAGCCTGGGCAGGGGCCGGGAGGCGATTGTGGCCTTAGGACCCGCTGGTCCAGGGCTGGAAAGGGCCGGCTCAGGCCGTGCTTCGAGTGTTGCTTGGTCAGAAGACGGTGCACTGCGGACGGCCGGGCGCCCGCCTCCGGAGGCTTCGCGACCTGGGGGTGGAGTCCAAGGTGACTGTGAGGCCGGGGCGGGTCTGCAGACCACGCGAGCGAGCGTGGGTGGGCTGCGGGCTGCGTGCACTGTCTAGCTGTGCCGCCGAAGCAAGCCTCCCGGGCGATGTCATTAACCTCTGTGACATTCGGTTTGCTCACCTGTGAAGCGAGCGCCGTAAGGACTAGCGAGTTGCCCCCGATTCCCGGGGAAATCAGTGTGAAGTGCATGAGGAATCTTACTGTGTGGTAGTTGTTACTGGGGTCTCTCGGAGTCTTTTCAGCAGGTGAGGTGTCAGGCCCCCTCCTGCGCTGTGTATCCTGCTGAGCACCAGGTTTCGTTTACAGTTTTCACAAGACCTAGTTTCTAGGGACCGTGAGTGCCAGGGGGGATCGTTGGGCTCTGAATGACTGACCCCTTTTCTTTGGAACAAGGTAGTTATTATGAAGCATGAAGGGGAGGCGCCCTATGAACGAAGGACAACCCCTGAAACCTGAACCCGCTTATTAGCGCTTCAGAGCAGAGGCAGAAGAATCACAGAAAGGAGGAGATTCTAGCTTTGCATGGCCAAGCAATTATTGATGCTTCTGCGCAGAGTGAACGAGATATGGGTGACACTGCTTCCTCCCGAAGTTGTCAAAGACTGGGTGATAATGGAAGGTCCGAATCGACTTTCAGAAGGAGACCTGAGCTAGGCTGAGGCAGGTAGGCAGAGGCCAAAAGAAATGTTACTTATTGGAGAGGTCCCGAGGGTGTGGTCTGGGGGTGGAGGGATAACCTGTCACAGCTGAGAGAATCTGTGTATGGTGCTCCCTAAATATTCCCATTCCTTCATTCTACTCCCACTGTTTCTGTTATCTGAGCTCTCTCAAGCCTATTATACCGTCAAGTTTGGTATCTGGAGGTATGCTGATGCTTGCTCTTCCTAGCAGTTCCTTCTGTTAGTTCAGGAAGGGTTTGTCAGGGTATGTCTGCCTTATGAGAAAGATTGGGGAGTGAGCGGGGTGTGGGTGGAGGAGAGGAAAAAGGATTTGAGGACATGAGTGATGTGCCAGTGATTTTTTGTATACATCAGGCATCTTGACTTTTGGATAATATTATCCACTCTGCCACCATTAAGTCAAACACGTTTACTTTTGACACCATTTTTGAGAAATGCAGTCAACTTAAGAACAAATAATTTTTAGAAGACCTTGACTTAAACATGCCTGTCTTATTTTCCCTAATTCTTTCTGTGGACTAAGTGAGCTCCGGGGACTCAAAATACAAGTGTTTCCCACTTAACATCAGAAACCTGTGCTTGATAATCATGAATTCCACAGCACAATAACAGAAGCCTATTTTCCACTGTTTAAAATGGGAAAATTAGCGTGAATCACACTTCACTCTAATTGGCTCCAAACTGATTTTTTAAAAATGTAAATAAAACATAGCATATGCCCCCATAAAATTAACAGACTCATGTTACGGTGTAAAAAAGTTAAAACATAGTTTTCTGGTCTGCACACAATTGCTTTTTAAAATTCACGTGGTCTCTTAGTGCAACAACCTTACTGAGGTCCATCCAGGTGACATTTGTTTTCCTTTCAGAAGTTCTACATGTGTTGTGAAGTTCTATTGGTTATTTTTCAGCATGTAATGTAAGACATTTTACCCCACGTAATTTTGTTAAAAACATTGAGTTTGGGGACTTAGACATATCATTTAGCATTTGCTCAGTAATGAACCAACCCAAATTTACTGACTTAAAAAATAAAAAATAATAAAAAAACATTGGGGGCTTCCCTGGTGGCACAGTGGTTGAGAATCTGCCTGCCAGTGCAGGGGACACAGATTTGAGCCCTGGTCTGGGAAGATCCCACATGCCATGGAGCAGCTAAGCCTGTGCGCCACAACTACTGAGCCTGCGCTCTAGAGCCTGTGAGCCACAACTACTGAGCCCACGTGTCACAACTACTGAAGCCCGTGTGCCTAGAGCCCGTGCTCCACAACAAAGAGAAGTCACCGCAATGAGAAGCCCGCGCACTGCAACGAATTGTAGCCCCTGCTCACCGCAACTAGAGAAAGCCCGCGCGCAGCAGCAAAGACCCAGCGCGGCCCAAAATAAATAAATAAATAAGTATATTAAAAAAAGATTTGCTCAAAGTTTAGCATTTTGGGTTTTTTAAAATTTTTGTTTTGTTTTTACTTTTTAAAATTTTATTGACGCATAGTTAATTTACAATGTTGTGTTAGTTTCTGCTGTACAGCAGAGTGAATCAGTTATACATATGTCCACTCTTTTTTAGATTCTATTCCCGTATAGGTCATTACAGAGTATTGAGTAGAGTTCCCTGTGCTGTCAGTAGGTTCTTATTAGTTATCTCTTTTATATATAGTAGTATGTATATGTCAATCCCAATCTCCCAATTTATTCCTCCCCCTGTCCTTTTCCCCTTGGTAACCATAAGTTTGTTTTCTACATCTGGGACTCTATTTCTGTATTATAAATAGGTTCATTTGTACCATTTTTTTTAGATTCTACATATAAGCAATATCATATGATGTTTGTCTTTGTCTGACTTACTTCACTCAGTGTGACAATCTCTAGGTCTGTGGTTCAGCATTTTGGGGCTAGGTTTAGTTGGTCAGTTCCTATGTTCGTGTTGTCATCTGGTGCCCTGACTGAGGCTGTTTGATTTAAGATGACTTCATTTACTTTTTTGGTGGTTTGTGCTGGCTGTTGGCTAAACCACATGTCCCTAACAGGCTAGCCCCAGAAGGCAAGCTGTAGTGGAAAAGTGCTTTTCATCTGTGTTTGCATCATATGTCCTTATTTTTTTTTTAATATCTTTTTCGGAGTATAATTGCTTTACAGTGTTGTGTTAGTTTCTGCTGTATCCTATGTCCTTTTAACCAAAGCAAGACAAATGGCAGAGCCCACATCAGTTGTAGGGAACTTCACAGGGAAATAAATGCGGAGAAGCAGCCATTGTTTAAATCGGAGAATCAACCATTGTTTAAATAAAGCAACAACCATTGTTTAAATAAAGCAACAACCATTATTTAAATAAGCATTTTTAAAAATTTAAATTGATGCCCCTCCATTCACCTTCTCTCGCAGCTCTATTTCCAGAGTCCTCTGTGTGTTTCTAAGAACAGCAGGAAATGAATACATCTCTGGTGAGTTGTTTTTTTTCCTCAACTTGTTTTATATTTTACTATATGAGCTTTATGAGGGTCCTTAAAGTAAAATGGAAAAGTAAAACTAAGTAAGATTCAGCTTCAGGGCAATATACATAAAAAAGATAAAGGTGGCATGTGGATATAGGCGGGTAATATGACCTTAGAGTGGTCCAAGGTGAGTGCAATGGCAAAAACACAGATACAACTGTTCTCTGATCAGAATGGACCCTTAGAAGAAAGCATGCTACATTCCCTTGAGACATGAGAACTTGCATGCACAGATGTCTGAACAGTGGCTTAATTGGTCACATAGATGATGGAGTGGACAGTGTTTCACTGCCAGTCTGGAAATAAACACTTCATGCATTCTGCAGTGGTGACACTTACCTAGTGCTGAAGCAGAACTTGCTTGATAAGGTTTTTCTGGAGTTGCTAAAAGAGTGTGGTCCCAGACAGCTTTTGGAAGGCCCTACTTGATGCATGGATAAAACGTGGAATGTCTGGAGGATTGAATTGACTGCAGGTCCTTTAAGTAACTCATCTCTCTCCGCTAGTCTATGCATGCAGGTTGTATAGCAGACTGTTCAAGGCTATATTTTCTGGCAAATGTTTCCACTGCTCTTTTGCAGCTTAACCTACTCAACATGGTCTTAATTCATTTCTTCTCAAGCTCACCAATAACCTAAATTATAGTTAGGTTCAATGAATATGTTGTAGTCTTTGCCTTACTTGAACCTTCTGCCATATTAAAGCTACTGTCCATGATCTCCTGGAAATTCTCGGCCATTAGCTTCTACTGTGGCCTCTCTGATGGTTTATTCCCGAATTCTTCTGTCTTTTTCTTCTGCTCCTGAGCGTTGCTCATCCAGGTGTTCAAACCTGGGCCCCATTCTTCACACGCTGCAGTTCTCCTTGACCTGTTTGGCTCTCTGTGATTTGACAGTCCTGTTTCTCTCCAGCTTGGACCTCTTCCCTACCTTTAGACCATAGGTTCAGCTCCTTGTTGAATGCTTTCTTGTAGCTATCCAGAAGGTATCACAAGCTCAACAAATCCAAAATGAAAACCGCATTCTTCTTTCTTCCCATACATATGATGCTACTTTCATGGAGCCAGTGAGTCAAACCACCAAAATGGGATTTCTCCTGGACCCCTCCCTCTCTCTCAGCTTTAATCTCATCTAAGGTAAAGTCCTGCTACTTCTGTTTGTGCCTTTAATTTCGTCTGATGTCTGCATTGTCGCTCACCAACGAACGCAGTAACTTTCTTTTTTACTTTGGAATTGTCATCCCTAGCAGAACTGAAGGATGTGTTTGCTGCGATCTGTTAGATTCCCCTTGAGCTGTGCTGCTGGCAGCGTGTGTGGTGACAGCCTTAGAGTCCAGTGGGAGGAAGGATTCAGGGGTTGTTCAGACTTATTTTGAACAAGGGTCAGGACAAAGTTACACAAAGTCTAAAAACAAGGGTTACAGATTTTTGTAATTTTTAACTTCCATTTATATAAATTTGTCAGTGATTCTGTCGCTTTTATTATGATATAATTGTGTATTGCTAGTTCAAAAATGACCTTTTTCCAAACCCTGTTAAAGACTATTTAATTCTTCTGCTATTTCAGTTAATCACTTAAAAATGAATAGGGAGAAGTGCATGTGTGCATTATTCATAACTATGACTGTGGAGCAGAACTCTCCTAATTGTTGGTTACTTTTTTTTATTGTGATAAAATATACATAAGCTAACGTTGGCAATTCCACCATTTTGAAGAGCACAGCTCAGTACGCGTAGTGCATTAATTTATTCACACTGTTGTGTAACCATCACCACTAAGAATATCCAGATTCATCCTCCCCAGATAAAACTTTACTCGGGGCTTCCCTGGTGGCGCAGTGGTTAGGAATCTGCCTGCCAGTGCAGGAGACACGGGTTCAATCCCTTGTCCAGGAAGATCCCACATGCCACGGAGCAACTAAGCCCATGCGCCATAACTACTGAAGCCCGCATGCTGCAACTGCTGAGGCCTGAGCACCATCTCCCGTGCTCTGCAACAGGAGAAGCCACTGCAGTGAGAAGCCCGTGCACCGCAACAGAGAGTAGCTACCACTCACCGCAACTAGGGAAAGCCCGCACGCAGCACTGAAGACCCAACGCAGCCAAAAACAAACAAACAAACAAAAACTTTACTCATTAAACCCTAACTCCCTATTCCCCCCTCCCCCAGCCCCTGGCAGCAACCACTCTAATCTCTGTGTCTATGAAGTTGATGACTCTGAGAACCTCATGTAAGTGGAATCATGCAGTGCCTGTCCTTAAGTGACTGACGTATTTCACCTAGTGTAGTGTCTTCAAGGTTTATCCATGTTGTAGCATGGTAAAATTCACTTCCTTATGAAGTCTCAATAATATTACCATTATATGTATGTCCACGTTTTACTTATCCATTAATCCATCAATGGTTTTATGGGTTACTTCGACCTTCAGGCTATAAAGGATAATGCTGTTATGACCATGTGTGTAGACATATCTTTTCTAGTTCCCACTTTTACTTTGTTTTTTATACACCCAGAAGTAAAGTTGTAGGATCACGTTGTAATTCTGTATTTAATTTTTTCAGGAATCACCATGTTGTCTTCCGTGGTGGCTGCACTATTTTACATTCCCACCAGCAGTGCACAAGGTTTCCAGTTTCTTCATATTCTTGCCAACACTTGTTCTTTCCTGTTTTGTTTTGTTTTTTAAATAATAGCCATCCTAATGGGCATAAGATGATATCTCACTGTGCTTTTGATTTGCTTTTCTCTAATGACTAGCAATGCTGAGCATGTTTTTATGTGCGTATGGGCCATTTGTTTATCCTTTTTGCACATTTTTTAAATAGACCTTTATTTTTTTATAGCAGTTTTAGGTTCCCAGCAAAATTGAGCAGAAGATACAGTGATTTCCAGTATACTCTCTGCCCCCAGGCGCTGCCTCCCCATTATCAGTATCAGGTATTCATTTGTTACAATTCATGAACCTACACAAACATATCATTATTACCCAAAGTCCTCGGTTTACATTATAATTCACTCTTGGTACTGCACTTTTTATGGGTTTGGACAAATGTGTAATGATACGTATTCACCATTATAGTCATACAGAGTGGTTTTATTGCCCTGAGAATCCTCTGCGCTCCTTCTGTTCATATCCTTCTGTAGTCCGTAGCCCTTGGCAACCACTGGTATTTTTACTGTCTGCATAGTTTTGCCTATTAGAGAATGTCATATAGTTAGAACCATGTTATGTAGGTTTTTTAGATTGGCTTCTTTCACTTGTTAACGTGCTTTTAAGTTTCCTCTGTGTCTTTTCATGGCTTGATAGCTCATTTATTTTTAGCACTGAGTAATACTGCATTTCCTGGTTGTACCACAGTTTATCCACTCATTTACGGAAGGACATTTTGGTTGCTTCCAAGTTTGGCAGTTGATGAATAAAGCTATTGCAAACATCTGTGTACTGGTTTTATGTGGACATACGTTTTCAGTTCCTTTGAATAAATACCAGAAGTGCACTTGCTGGATCATGTGTTAAAAGTGTGTGTTTAATTTTGAAGACAGTACCAAACTGTCTTCTAGAGTGGCTCTACCATTTTGCTACTTTGTTATGGCAGCCCTGTCAAATTAATACACTGCACTTCATTCCACTGCTTTTTTATTGGTTACTGTAAGGCTTACAATATGAGTCTTTATCAGAATATACTAGAGGAGCAGTGCATTACTTCACATAAAATGTAGAGACCTTTGAGTAGTAGTATTCCATTTACAACCCCTATCATTTGTACTTTTGTTTTTATACATGTGTATTTACATATTGAGTCTACATACATTATGAGTCTCCTGTATGTTATTATAATTTTTCTTAAAACAATCATATCTATTTTAAAGGAATTAAGAGAAGAAAAAAAAAATATATATATATATAATCCTTTATATTTACCCACACATTTACCATTTCCAGTGATCCTGATTCTTTCCTGTGGATTCAGGTTAACGTCTGGTATCTTTTTCTTTCATCCTGGAGAATGTCCGTTATCATTTTTAGTGCTATCTTCTGATGATGAATTAGCTTAGTTTATCTTTATCTGAAACTGTCTTTATTTCATCTTTATTTTTAGCATAGTCTCACTGGGTAGAATTACAGCTTGAAGGATGTTTCCATTCAGCATAATGAGAAGTCATCTATTATTCATGTGCAGATGTACCTGAGTGGGATCTTTTCCTTTGGCTGCTTTCGAGATCTTCTCTTTACCTTTGGATACTGGCAGTGTGACTGGTGTGCCTAGAGTAGTTTCCTTTTCTTTTTTTATAAATTAATTAATTTATTTTTGGCTGTGTTGGGTCTTTGTTGCTGCACGTGGGCTTTCTCTAGTTGCGGCGAGTGGGGGCTGCTCTTCGTTGTGCGCGGGCTTCTCATTGCAGCAGCTTCTCTTGTTGTGGAGCACGGGCTCTAGGCGCGTGGACTTCAGTAGTTGTGGCACACGGACTCAGTAGTTGTGGCGTATGGGCTTAGTTGCTCTGCAGCATGTGGGATCTTCCTGGACCAGGGCTCAAACCCATGTCCCCTGCGTTGGCAGGCGGATTCTTAACCACTGTGCCACCAGGGAAGTCCCTAGAGTAGTTTTCTTTGAATCTAAGCTGATCATGGGTCATTGAGCTGCTTCAATCTGTAAATTCGTTTCTTTCACAAAATTTGGGAAGGTTTTAGCCACTGTTTCTAAAAATACATATTATGTTCATTCTTTCTCTCTCCTTTCTGTCTGGTGCTACAATTACATATATGTTAGACTGTTTTCTAAATTGTTTCTTAGCCTCTTTTCATTTTTTTTTCAGTTTTTTCTCTCAAAAAGATAAGAAAATATCTACTGATCTATCTTTAAGTTCATTGGCTTTCTTTTGCTGTTTCCAATGCGATGTTCAGCTCATCAGAAAGTTTTTCATTTTTGTTACTGTAGTATGTAGCTCTGCAATTTCCATTTAATTGTTTTTCTAGTTTGTTTTTCTGTACTGATATTGCCCCGCCCCCCCACCAATACATTATTTTTTATCTTCCTTTAAGTACTTGAATGTATTTATGGATGGGTTAACTATGTTTCTGCTACGTGCAGCACCTGGGATACCTTGGGATTAGTTTCTAGTGATTGTTTATGGTCGTTTTTTGTTTTTCTTCTTGAATATGAGTCACATTTTCCTCTTACTTTACATGTGTTGAGATTCTGAATTATGTACTAAACGTTGTAAATCATATGTTGCAAGAGTTTTTGGATCCTGTTATATTTCTCTGAAGAGTGATTTTGTTCTACAAGGCAGTTAACTTGGCTGGATTCAAATTCTAAACTTCATTTCTTATAGTGACCAGCAGCTGACTCTTCATTCGTTTCCTTCAGCTTTGAGAGGCTGCTTTCTTGTTGGGCCCTCTGAGGTCTTCCACATATGTGTAGTTTAGCAGTCAGCCAACAACTGTGGTTGGTTTTGTGTGGAAATGTGGTACATTATGTTCTTTTGCTGCTTCTCTCCGAGGGCTACCCCCCAACCCCCACTGAGTTTTCCAGTTTTGTTGGCAGCCCTGAACTATGCCCTCTGACACCTAAGCCAGTAAAGCTTCAGCTTTCAGTTTCTTGATCTATTTGCAGATTGAAGATTGCCCTCTGGTAAAATGCCATAAACTTGCAAAGTAGTTTGTCCTTTAATGGATTATTCAAATCTAGTTTCTGCCTACTGTTCGTTGTTCTCCAGTGCCTTTAGGCGATTGTGTTATAAATTTTGTCCAGCTTTTATAATAGTTTCCTGCACATTGTTAGTCTGGTCAAGCTACTTTGCCATTAACGTACAAGCCATGCTACATTTATGATGTTTATATTTTTAAATCTGTCTTCACTAGTTTATCTGGCCTGTCTTTATCACAGGGTCATTTTCTCTCCACTGGACTATTGGTCAGCTCTCTGAAGTCTCCCAATCTTATTACTACCCCAACTCAGTTCTTTCTTCCATGGGAATAATTCATCCAAGACAAGGGGCAGTAAATTATGGCATACAGGTCAGATGTGGCTACTACCTATTTTTGTGTGACCTGTGAGCTCGTTTTTTGGCTTATTACACCTTTTTTAAGCACTTACTGTAAGGTTTGTGCTATTCATCTTTAATTTATCATAGTCTACTTTAAAATAAGATACCATTTATATAAGAACCTTAAAACAGTATACTTCAAAAGTTTTCTCCTCCCAGCTTCTGTGATATCGTTGGCATACCTTTTACTCCCACATGCATTCTTTTGTTTTGGCTGCGCTGGGTCTTCATTGCTGCGCACCGGCTTTCTCTAGTTGCAGTGAGCGGGGTCTACCCTTCATTGTGGTGCACAGGCTTCTCAGAACAGTGGCTTCTCTTGTTGCAGAGCCTGGGCTCTAGGTGCGCGGGCTTCAGTAGTTGCAGCACATGGGCTCAGTAGTTGCAGCACACAGGCCCTAGGGCATGCAGTCTTCAGTAGTTGTGGTCTGTGAGCTCAGTAGTTGTGGCTTGCGGGCTCTAGAGCACAGGCTCAGTAGTTGTGGTGCATGGGCTTAGTTGTTCCATGGCATGTGGGATCTTCCCGGACCAGGGATCGAACCTGTGTCCCCTGACTGGCAGGCAGATTTTTAAGTACTGCGCCACTAGGGAAGTCCCCCACATGCATTCTTATTTTGCTTCATATGGTCAATTACCTTTAAAGGAGTTTGAACATAAAAATAATATAATATTATATCATAATATATTATACAATATATATTACATAATACAATATATATTATATATTTATTAATATATTTACCATTTCGAGTGCTCTTTATTCCTTTATATATACCCAGATTTCTATCTGATACATTTTTCTTCAGATTTTAGGCAATTTGATTATCGTGGTCCTTGTTCTAGTTAGTTACCTGATGTTTCTTGCTTGTCCAAAGTCTGGTCCCCAGAGCTCCCTCATGCCCTTTACCATCCCCATGATCACCCTCAGGTTCAGTAATTCACTAGCAGGACTCAACAGAACTCAGAAAAGCCGTTGTGGGCTTCCCTGGTGGCGCAGTGGTTAAGAGTCCACCTGCCGATGCGGGGGACATGGGTTCGAGTCCTGGCCCGGGAAGATCCCACATGCCGCCGAGCAACTAAGCCCATGCTCCACAACTACTGAGCCTGCGCTCTAGAGCCCACGAGCCACAACTACTGAAGCCTGTGCTCCGCAACAAGAGAAGCCACTGCAATGAGAAGCCCGTGCACCGCAACAAAGAGTAGCCCCCGCTCTCAGCAACTAGAGAAAACCCCCGTGCAGCAGCGAAGACCCAGTGCAGCCAAAAATTAAATAAATGAGTAAATAAATTTAAAAAAAGAGCTGTTGTACTCATGTTTATGGTTTTGTACAGTGAAAGGATGCAGATTAAAATCAGTTAAGGGATCAGGCACATAAAGCAGGGTCCAGGAGTCTTCATGTGCAAGGTTCCAAAAACCTGCCAGTGGAGCCACGTGGACGGTGCCTTTTTCTCGCAGCAACAGGGTTTGACAGTGTGCGTGGAATGTGGAGAAACAGGGAAGCTTACTTGAGCCTTGATATCCAGCTTCCATTGGGGCTCTGTCATGTAGACCTGGTTGACCATCTGTGTGGCTGACCTTAATCTCTAGTCCCTCCATAGACTGAGCTCATAAAATGTGCTGATAACAAGGCCTCCCACCATTAATCACATTTTTAGCATAGGATATCTGTGTGACCCAAAGCTATCAGGTCAAACAAAGATATTTGTATCAGTCAAGACACTTCAGGACTTATATGTAAAACCTGAAACCATAAAACTCCTAACAGAAAAAAGCTTCTACATTAGACTTGGCAATATTTTTTTGGATATGGCACCAGATGCACAAGAAACAAAAGCAAAAATAACAAGTAGGACTACATCATACTAAAAAGCTTTTGTACAGCAAAGAAAACA